TTGTTAACTTGATCTCGTATGTAATGGAAGCGAGTCTCAATGTGCTTGCTTCTGCCATGTGAAACCAGATTATTTGCAAGATTTATAGCTGACTTGTTATCAACAAGCAGCTCAATAGGTTGTTCCAATTCAACACCTATCTCTGTCATCACTGAGTTTAACCATATAGCTTGACAAGCTGCACTTGGTCCCGCTATATATTCAGCTTCACATGTAGATAGAGCCACCACAGATTGCTTCTTGCTCCACCAAGAAATTGGTGCTCCCATAAACATAAACACACAACCTGTAGTACTTCTTCTATCCACACTATCTCCACACCAGTCTGCATCAGAATACCCAACCAACTTTGTCTGTATTTCTTTAGATTTTGGAAATAATACTCCAAAATATAATGTTCCCTTTACATATCTCATGACTCTTTTGGCAGCTAGCATATGTTTCTGCTTAGGTTGTTGCATGAATCTACTTAGGATGCCTACTGCAAAGCAGATATCTGGCCTATTGTTGCAGAGGTACCTAAGAGACCCAACCACCTGTTTGTACAGAGTATCATCTACCTCACTTTCTCCATCTTCAGTTACTATAACTTTTCCCTCAGCTGGTGTTACTGCTATGTTGCAGTCCATCATTTCATACTTTGCTCGGATCTCCGCAACATACTTCCTCTGTAGAATCAATCCTCTCTCAGTCTCCACAAACTCCATGCCTAGGAAGTATTTTAGTCTTCCTAAATTAGTCATTTCAAATTCTGTCATTAACAACTTCTTAAATTCTTCTATCTCGTCAATATTGCTTCCTGTAATGAGCAAGTCATCCACATATATACACATTAAGACTAGATCAGTCCCTCTGCCATACTTCACATATACTCCATGTTCCACTGAACATTTCTTAAACTCTTGACTTAACATAAAAGCATCTATTCTTCTGTTCCAGGCCCTGGGTGCCTGTTTAAGGCCATAGAGAGCCTTCCTCAGCCGATATACCTTATGCTCAACACCTTTCTTCACAAATCCAGGAGGTTGTGTAACATAAACCTCTTCTTCAAGCGGGCCATTTAGGAATGCAGATTTGACATCCATCTGAAATAAAAGCCACTTTCTCCTATTTGCCAAGGCTACTACCATCCTTATTGTCTCAATTCTGGCCACAGGAGCAAATACTTTTGTGTAGTCCAGCCCTTTCTTTTGTAAAAATCCTCTCACAACTAGCCTTGCCTTCCTTTTGTTAATACTGCCATTTGGATTCACCTTTAGTTTGAAAACCCATTTCAGATCAATGGGTTTTTTGTTACTGGGTAAGTCAGTCAGTTCCCAGGTGTTTGTCCTCTCAATGGAGTTTAATTCTTCTAACATGGCTTTCTTCCATAATTCTTGTTTCATGGCTTCATCATGATCTAACGGTTCAGCTTCTGCCATTAGTGCAAAATGCACCAAGTCTCCCTCACTTGTCACAACATCATCTGGATATACTTTAAAATCCACCAGAGTTCGTGGCGGTCTTCTCTGCCTCACAACTCTTTGAGACTGGGGTTCTATCGTATTTTCTCCTGCTGTATCAACTTCTTCCTCTTCTTCAAAGAACCCTCTAGCTTTCTTGCCTTCCCTTCATTCCAATCCCAGGATTCTTCTTCACTTACCACAACATCCCTGCTGATACAAATCTGTTTGGAAACAGGATTGTATAACCTATAAGCTCCTATGGAGTGATAACCCACAAAAATCATAGCCTCACTTTTATCTGCCAGTTTTGTCCTTTTAACATCTGACACATGTTTGTAGCATTTTGAGCCAAATATCTTCAAATGCTTAACCCCTGGCCTATTACCACACCAAACCTCCTCTGGAACTTTATCTTCCAGCTTTTGTGTAGGACACTTGTTTAGAAAATAGACAGCTGTTGAGACAGCTTCCCCCCATAGTGAATGAGGCAACTGTTTTTGTTTTATCATACTCCTGGCCATGTTAAGTATCATTTTATTCCTTCTTTCTGCCAACCCATTATGTTGTGGAGTATATGGTGTTATGACTTCATGTTGCACACCATTCTCTCTGCAGTAATCTTCAAAGTCATTTGACAAATATTCCTTTCCTCCATCTATTCTCAAGATCTGAATCATCTTCCCACTTTGTTTTTCTGTCATCATTTTAAATTTCTTGAAAACAGAGAACACCTCTGATCTGACTTTGATCAAATACAACCAAATCATTCGGCTGTACTCATCAACAAATGTGACAAAATATTTATTTTGTCCAAGTGATAACTCCTCAAATGGTCCGCATACATCAGAATAAACTACCTGCAATACCTCATTTGCCCTCATGTGCATATGTGTTTTGAAGGCATTTCTAGGTTGTTTTCCCACCAAACACCCTTCACACACCTTTCCTGGCACAGCTAATGTCTCAGGCAGTTTAGTCACCATCCCTTTATCAGCCAACTTCTTCAAACTGGTAAAATTTAAGTGCCCATACCTACTATGCCACAACCAACTCACTTCCTCTGCCGTAGTTGCTGTTAAACATTGATTTTCTGTCAAGAAAAGCCTTGTCTGAAATGTCCTATTCTTTGCCAAAGGAGATTTCAGTACAAGCCTTTTCTTAGCATCATAAACTCTCAACATTTCCTCCTTCATTGACACTGAAAAACCTTTCTGCACCAGCTGTCCTATGCTCAACAGATTGCATTTCATCCCTGGCACATATAACACATCCTCTATCACTATGACTTCTTTGCCATCTTTCTTAATTACCACATTCTCAACTCCTTCAGCCTTTATGACATTGTCATCTGCTAGCTTTATCTTGCTGGATCTGCTGGTATCTATGCTGGACATCCATTCTTTGTGCCCAGTCATATGGTTGGAACATCCAGTGTCAAGAAACCAAGTTTCAACACCAAATTCTTCTTCACTGGTCGTTACCATAAGCACCACAGGCTCCTCCTCTGAATCATCTTGTGCTACTTTTGCCTCTGCATCAACTGGGCCCCTTTTCTGTCTTCCTTTTCCGTGCCAGCAGTCTGCTGCATAATGACCCCATTTCTCACAATTGTAGCACTGAATTTTCCGCATATCAACACTCTTCTTTCCTCCTTTATCTCTCCAAGACCCACGTCCTCCTTGAGCCTTCTGATCTGTTTTCTCTCCAGAACCAAAATCTTGAGACAAAGAATTTATTTCTTTGTTAAATCTGCCTCCTCCTCTATTCTTCTTCCAGTTTCCTCTGTCAGAACCACAACTTTTCTTGCTGATTTGGGTTTTCAAGGCCTGCTCATCCTCTGCCTTCTCAGATTTTCGCGTTGTGCGCTTCAACTCGTGTGCTTCTAACGTACTCTGTAATTCCTCCAGTGACAGGACCTTCATATTCTTGCCAGACTCTTCTATTGCCACTACTATATTATCAAAATTTTCATATGTTACATTTTATTTGTTACATATGTTACATTTTATTTGAAGTAAACAAAATTTGAAGAGATGTTACATTGAACAATCTTTAGTCAATGATTTAAAATATAATTCTTATATCATTACTTATAAATGTATTTATCAAATATTTTTATTACAAAAACAATAATAAAAATATAATGAAACAAATTTATTCATTTACTTTTATGAATAATTCTCATTAATATTAATGGAAATAATTATTCTCCTCATAAACTCAAAATTATATTGACCAGTTTTAATAATAATAAAAAACTTACATTATTAATTGATATTTTTAAATTATTAATATTTTTTATATTTGATGATAATTTTAATATATTTTTCTATAACTCAACATTGTTTTATCTAAGAAAATATTTAAATTTAATATATTAAATCTTTTTAAAATTATGAAATTTCCTATTTATATACATGTAAGGTAATCCTGACCTCACCAAAGGAAACAGGATATTCCTTTTATCATTAACTTATCCTAACATTTTCTTTTAAGTTATTTCAAAATAAGTTTTACAAATTAATGAAATTTACACTCCCTGTTTATATATATATATATATATATATATATATATATATATATATATATATATATATATATATATATATATATATATATATATATATATTAGTTTTTAAAAATTTAACACATTTTAATACGTAGTTTCCGAACACATTATATACTTACTTTCTAGGTTTGGGTTTTCTACCAAAATAGCCCAGGTTGAAAATATTTATATTTTCTTATATGGAACAAATTTTTCAAAAATTACTTATATCGAATTACATTATATAATTTTAAATAAAATATTTTATAATATAAATATATAATAATAATAATAATAATAAGTTATCAATTTTTAAAATAATATATTTATCTAATAAAATTAATTTAATTGTTAAAAAAAACTAAAGTCATACTACTTTAGTTATGTTCTTATATAATTAAAGTCATACTTACTTTTATAAAAAAAGAATATTTAATTCGTTAAAGAAAACAAGATTTTAATTAGTTAATATCATATTTAATTCGGTTGTGTTGAAAAGATAATTTGTTCTATCGCTAATTAAATTTTAATTAAAGAATTTAAATTAAAGTTGAAGGAGAAATTAGCAAAATTGTGAGTGAGGATACAAAGGCCCGCATATCCCAGTTCTCAACACTTTCCTCGGCCCAATCGATCCATTAAGGGATTTCATTCTTCCACTTGTTTGTCAACTTAAAAACTAAATTCATGGATATTTGATACTTTAAGAATTCTTTACATAATTGGATAAAAAAAAATTATTTATATAATTTTAATAGTTTAACTGTCACTTACGAGAAACGCAGAATACTGTTTGAACTAAATTAATGGTTATTCTTATGATTTCAACCATGAACTAAGAATACTAAATGTGCAGAGAAATTTTGATAAAGATAAATTGCTGAAATTTACACAACACAGGCAGAAATTTGATAAATTCTCCCCATCTTTCCTTCAAATTTGTGTGGTAGTCAAACCCTGATGACTGGAAAAGGACATAATATTAGTTGGAGATGATGATAGTGATACTAGGGATTGTTATGTCCAACAGCTTTGCCACAAAGCAACACATTGTTGGGAATATCATATTCATTGGCAAGGCTTCGCTCAGAAGTCCAAACCCTCAGATATAACTGTTGCCCAAGATACTGCCTTTCCCATACTGCAGACCTCAGATTCCACATTCCTTGGTTGTCCAAGGACACCAAGATGCTAGTCCAAGCGTTTGGATAAACCTACATTCATTTTCAAACACACCATATCATTACAATATTTCTCATCTACACACATGTTGCTTTGATTTACACATATATAAAATTATACACTTATTTAAGTTACCTGTGCAGTGTGTCTGGTCAGGGCATCAACTAGATTATAGGTTCTTCTCTTGGCTGGTGTCCACTGACCAAAACCATAACTGTCATTGTTGCAATGAAATACATTAATACTCCTTAAGCTAATTCTACGTAAAGATGATTGCTTCAATCATACTAGAAGAAGATTGAAGCAAAAACGCAAATAAAGGAAGCTAACATACCCCACCACCCAGAAGTCATAACCATCAAGATGCCAAGACTGCATGGTGTTTTCGTTGTTCTGGAAAACGACCTCAATGAAATCGTGGAGAGAAGTTGGCACTACGGAGGTGGCTACGGATGTGGGAGTGTTATCAGAAGGAAGGCTTTGGATTGAGTCGACACTGTAGATTCCGGGAATGTTGAAGTAATCAGCAAGCTTGAGAGGGGTGTCAGGGTTAACATAGGACACCTTGTTGACAGTGTAACGCAGTTTTCCATTAATCAAAGAAGCGGAATTGGACAATACAATTGTCTTTGTAGGAGTTATTTTTCCATAATGGTATGACCCTTGAGGGTTAGGCCTCGCAGCATTTGCTGTCAGATTCCATCTGCACCAACAATTAATTTTTTAGCAGATACAGAAAGAGTTTATGTATATATGCTATAGAGAGTTTAACATTACCAATCAATAAAAAAATGAAGATGATCATTTTACCCATTATTATCATAATTATCTTAAAAACTATCTATAAGATGATTTTTAATTAGTTATCACTGTATCGGTATAAAAACCTTTCGTACCATGGTGCATAGAAATTAAATTCTATAAAAAAATTATGGATAAACTAATTAAAATTTAAGGCTTGTTGATTTTGGTTAGATGTTCATATCAACCTGTAGGTTCTAGCTTGCTTCACGGACCAGTGATATTGGTGAATGGGGGGACTAGGCAGGGGTCCAGAAGCTGGGGAATTAGAGTTTGAATAATGTAACACTGCCGTTGCTGTGAGAATTTTTTTGGAAAATCTTGTTGAGGCAACAATGTAGTAGTCCTTTGGAGGCTGATTTAAGGTTACCAACACAGCAGCTGATTGTCCAACGTGCACATCAAGTGTGTCGTATACATTCTGGACAATGTGTGATCCTTCAATCTCAACTAGCTTCAGAGTGTGACCCTGAATTCTGAAGTTTATTGATGTTGACATGCCCACATTTGAGATCCTGAACATATAGGTCTTTCCTGAAAGTAAAAAGCTGAAGTACAATTAGTGTTTGGAGAGACAATTTTGACAAAGCTGAAATTGATCACTTGGAATCTACGAAAGGTTGAACTATATCCTTTTTGAAAAGACTGACCCTGGTCACCATTTACGGTAGTGTGAGTCTGACCATTGATAAGAAGACCATCGGGAAAGGCAAGAGATTTTCCAGAATCCAAAGACTCCCTTAATGCCTGTAAATATCCAAAACAAAATGTTCAGAATGTTAGGTGGCAAATTTGCAAGGAAGCACAACGCACGAGAATAATGCAAAAGCACAAGCTCATGATACCTTGTGGTTGATCTTGTACCAATCACCAACGAGAAGAGTGAAATCTCCATCAGGGTATGGATAAGGAACTGGGATGACAGATCTATGGTACACATTGAGTCCTCCAAACCCTCCAGCTGCTTTATGCAGTGAAGTTGATGGAAAGTATGTGTAGGTTCCAATCTGATCCTTGGCCTGAAACTTGTACGTGTAATTTGAGTTTGGAGGAACAGGGCAGTTGGTTCCTAGGACCCCATCTTGCCATGAGTTTTTCCTTTGTTTGATGCCATTCCTGGTTTACAACAACAACAATGTCAACCCGTTTTCCTCAAATAAAATGCCAAAATAAGCATACTATCGAATTTCATTTGTAGGCCAAACGAATGAAAAATTTGTCAGATGTCTTAGGAAACTTGGCACCTCTTGTTATTTTTTCTAACATTGACTAAAATATTGTAATTTGTTTAAATTATTTGAGTAACAATGCATCTCTTTTAGCTAAAAAATTTATACATCTAGTAAATGAAATGAATGATATCACTTTATGAAGATGATCTGCAGTCCCAGTAAAAGCTGTATATAACAATGCTACCTTCCCTTCCATCTATTGTCACCCAAGATGTTAGCTAGCATGATCAAGTAACTAAAGACACCTATTCCCTCAAATTCCCAAAGTGACGTACCCGTAAAAGAGGCTAAATGGGGACTATTATTCGAAGTTCAGTCACAGTACGAACGAGACACGAAAAAACAGAAAAACTCACCAAGTAAGAAGAAACGGTTCGTCCAACTTGTTGACAAGGTTGAGCACAACATTGTCATTAGTTACCAAATCCAGTTGAGGCCCAGGAAACTGACCATTGATAAGAATGACCTTGAAAATTCAAGAACTAAAACTTTAGACCCAGACTCAACCAATTTATCCAAAGATTTCTTAGAACCAATGAAAACATATTATATTACACACCTGTTGAGGACTACCTAGTGGAGAAAGAGTTCCATATGTCACGGTCCACGTGTAATACTTGTATGCATCTTCTCCTTGTGAAAGAGACACACTCAGCAGAACCAGAACAGCACAAAGCAACAGATGGAGCAAAAATTTGCTTCCCATTGCGTCTGTCTACAAACAAAACATGAAATGGCAACAAAAAAAAAACGCTTTTATTTCATTGAAGAGAGTAGAAGAAAAGAATGCAAGTTTATCGAAAAGTACCACTTCTGCGGTACTCTCTTCAGCAGTGACACACTCAGTAAGGCTTAGAGGCTAAACTGCAGAGGCCTTTCATTACATATGCTATATATATATGCCAAGAACATTGCTAAGAAAATATAATTAAAAAATGAGACTATGTTTGGTGTTAAGGTAACAAATTCATCATCCGTATATTGAGGTGTTAACGCGTTTCCATAAGTTGGTGTTGCTTCAGCCTAAAGTTATACTGTGCTATTATAAAATCATTAAAATGAATTTTATATATGTACATCGTAATATATTAATTCTGTCAAAAAAACATATATCATTATTAAAGTGAAACCGTAGCTTTATTTGCCCACCACTTGCATTTTTTTGACCACTAGCCTCCTGAAATTTCGCCACTGATCATATCCATTTTCTTTTCGCTTTTCAGGCGTAGCTGCATTCTCACCTTTCAATTTAATGATTGTTCCAGGTTTAGCGAATGATACATGTTAATCTTTAAAGAAATGTTTTTTGTAGTTGAAGTTCTTTAATTTTCAAAACTGCAGCTTAAAGATAAAGTGATTTTTTTTTATGTATGTAGACTAGATATACAACTTGTTGAATCGCTTTTACAGTTCACCTACTGACCCATACGTCAATAAATAGGAAGACTTGTTCACTGTGAAAGGGGCATCGTCACCGATCAAGGCCATTTTTTTTATTATCTTTTTAGAGTTATTTGATGGTTGCATTTATCGTAGTTCATAATTGCTCCATGTGAAGTTCATTAGAGTCCAGAGGGGTTTGCTCATTCAGAAAATAAAAGTGACCCCCTACAATTTACAATGGAAAATGAAAAAAGATGTAAAGACAAACATAGTGCAAGAAAGTAAAATTATGCGTAATTAAGTGAAATAGACAATTAGAAGCACGAAGGAATTACCTAGTTGTGTTGGTCAACAAAAGAAATGATTGATGCAATAATCGGAATCCAATTAAACCTTCTAGAAAGGGCTCAGTCGTAGGATAATTTAGATTGCACTTTGTTGTTTGCAAATTCAACTCCAAATGTTCGTAACTTTTCCATTTCTTTTCTATAGTTAAATTATTGTTTCCTCCAAGTTTAAACAAATGTAGTGATATGTAGTAAACAAGATGCATTATTATAGGAAAAAATTATCCATGATTATTTCTACAAACAAATAATTAAAAGAGAAATTTACATAATAAATTATTTATTTTAACTTTATACATTTTATAATGTTATATAAATTTAAATGTTAAGGTTGTTAAATTGAATGTTTAATCTAATTTATAAGTCTTATTAAAAACAACTTACTGGTCCTTCTCACCCTTTTTTTTATAGTTTTTTTCCCTTAATATAATGATTCTAACTTAGATAATGAAAACTATATCTTTATGAATTTTAACGTTATAAAATATTAGGTTAAGCATAAATTTTATCTCTACAAAATAACATTTTACTTTTGGTTATTGTACAATAAAAGATTGAAAAGAAAATGTTGGTTTTATTTTTATTTACTCAATTTTTACCATTTTTTACTATTTATATTGATTATTTCAGTTTTAGATATCTTTAAAAATTAATGAAGTCATTTTAAATTTTATAAATTCATAAACTTCATCCAAATATTATAAATTTATATTATATAAACTCATTTTGATTATTAAAAAATATTATGATCTAATATACCTCTATATATGAATATTTCTCTATACGAATGTGAATTATAATTCATTATTATGTAGAGATTAAAAAATAATTATATTTTTACATGTTTTTATGATCTTTAAAAATTATTTTCTAATATACCTCTAAATACGAACATTTCTCAACACAAATGTGAATTATGATTCATTTATTCTGTAGAGATTAATCTCTTTTGTCATACCAACTTTTCTGTTACTAGTAATTCACACCATTGATGATACTTACTTGTACGACATGTTTGGTAAAAAGAAAAGAAATATAAAAATACAAAAAGGTATAAATACAGTGAAAAATAAAAATATTCGATAAAAAATAATTAATTAAATAAACATGTATAGTTTTTTCAAACATGACGTAAAAATACTAATAAATATTGCTATATTTTCACTTTACTTTATTAAACAAGAAACGCATTTTTTTGTCTTTTTTTTACGTATATGTATTTTTCATTTGAAAGCAATGTTAACATATTAAATTAAAGTAATTGATATATTTTATATAATGAAATAAATTTATTATTAAATATTAACATTAATAAAAATTTAAAATATTTTTTAAAACAATTTAAAAATAAATTAGTATTGATTAAATATTTAAGTTGTATAAAAATATTATTATAGTAATAATTTCATTATATATTACTTTTATATTATGATTATGACTTGAACATTATTTTAATATATAGTTAAAGTAATTAAAATATAAAATTAACTATATTATAATTTAAAAATGTATCAATTAATTAATAATTAAATAATATGTAAATTTTAACATTAATTTTAAATAGTATTATTAATGTAATATAATAATTGATTTTAATATTAAATGCAATGGTAAAACCTTTGGATAGAGGTTGTATTTATTTTTTTATGAATAGTTATAATTATTATTAATTATTTTATATTAATCTTAACACTGATTTTAACTGGCATAATAAATATTTTGATTATAAGTTTAGATGGAATTTGAAAAGAAAATCGAAAGCATTGTGTGAAAAAAAGAAAAAAGAATGTGAGGATAAAGAAAAAAAAATTAGGAATCTTAACTAATGCACAGTGAAGGAATCACATGTGTGGTGGGAAATTGGTAGTACATTAAAAAAAGGCACATGTGCGTCATTCACGGTGAAAACGACGTCGTAACAGAAGGATGGATAGAATGGAAGATTATTATTCACCATGCATGTTGGTTGTTTTGTTCCTTCCATCCATATGCATCATTAGCATTCACTTCATCATGCTGCTTTTGGAAATTCATTGTCCATTGCCTAAGTGCATGTTTCGGAAAAACTAAAACGTGCATGATTTAGACCTACTTTTTTTCATTCTTTGACCTATATATGTTTAATTCAAACCTAAAATATAAATACTAACAAATATGTATTTATAAAATATATATTTATTTATTATTTTTTCTTTTATTAAGTATTCAATAATATGCCATAATTCATATTTTTTGACATTTTTTTATCCCTTGTTTGTTTTTTAAGACAAAAAAGTTAGGGAAGATTCATCTCTTTTTTCAAGATATAAAATATGCAATAAATAAAAAAGTAAAAGTACTTTTTTTTCTTCCTCGCATGTAAGTAAAGAATTAGATGAAATTATCATAATATTGTTTACATAACCGGTAAATGTTGACATACTTAAGTTATTTAATCGATTATTAACATATATTTACGTTATATAACGGATTAAGTATTTCAATGATTATTAACATATATTTACGTTATATAACGGATTAAGTATTTCAATTATATTATTAAAAAGTGTTTTTATTTTATTTTATTATGATAATAATAAATAATTTTAAAATAATATATGATTTTATTTATTTTTACTATTTTATTTAATTTTAATAAAAAAATTACCTTTTTTTTCTTTATTTACCCGTTATTTTTATCATCTCGTATGAACAAAATATGAAAGTTTTCTAGTGTTTGAGTGGGTATGTATCAGAACTTTTAATCAAATCATGCAAAATTCTCGAATAGATGAAACAAAAATATATTTTTTGTAATGTCCATAGAAAAAGTTCTATTTGTATGGGTAAGGTCGAGAAATATACATTTCCATATCACAAACCCTAACGAAATAAAAGACACCCCTACCACATTTAATCATTTTATTGGGGTTTTTTTCTTATTATATCAAATTTTACCAATATTTGTATTTGTGAAATTCTTTACTTTTTTTTAATTTAATTTTTAATTTATTAATACCATTAATTTGAAGAAAGGAAAAAGGGGCATTTAACTCTTCCTAAAAACACAACTAAAATGTTTTTTTCTTTTTAGAATTAATTATTTTTGAAACTTAAGAAAGCAAACTTTACATCATCTAGAGGAAAAACAACAAAATTAACATGTCCTACTAAAAAGAGGTCCCTTAAACTCCTTTTATTACTAATCGTGCCCAATCTAACATAACATAGTAATAATATTTAAGTGTTTATTTGGATTAGAGGATGGATACGAAGGAGTAAAAATGAGTAAATTTAAAGGAAAAAAAGAAGAAGATAAAATTAGGATTGTTTAAATTAAGAAGAAGTTGGTTAAAAATCATGATTTGATAACTTAAAAAATTAGGATTTAATTGATAAAATGAGTATATTATTATTTTGTCCTTGACTTAAATAAATATTTAAAAATAAAATATAAGTCAAGTAAATAATGTTAAAATTAGATATAATATATTATTTAAAATATATTATTATTTAATTATATAAATTTATTATAAAATCAAATATGTGACTGGGAATTAATTTAAAAAAATTGACTTAATTTTTTAAATGAAATAAATTTATAATTTAAATGAATAATTTTTTTAATTAATTATAAAGTTAATTTAAATTTAAGTATATGATTAAGAATGAAAGTTAATAAAATAAATTGTATAATAAATTGTAAAATTATAGGAAAAAAATGCAAAAAAATTAAAAAAATACAAAGTCAATAGAAACAAATATTCAAAGTACAATGTCAAAATATCCTGGTTATACATAATAATGAACATGAATATAGAAGTAAGCAAATTAAGGCATCAATTCTATTGAAAGGAGTATTGAAAGTCATCAAATCATTTTTGCAAACGGTTAATTATATCATAAACTCTGTTGAAACTTGTGCTAACATTTAGGTTTAAATTAGTTAAACCATCTTTTATCCGTTGTATTCTTGCTTGCATGTCTTGAATCCCAA